ATAATTATATATAAGTATACTCTCTCTTATATAAGTATATATATGTATAAGTATGCTCTCTCTTAATATATGTATAAGTATATATAAGTATGTTGGCTCAGCTCCTTGCAGAAAAAGCCCAAAAACTTGAGTGTTCCCGGAGGACATACTCAAAGGGAAAACAAAAAGTACCTGAGAATTCAGATCGTGAAACTCAGAACATAGAATCCTCCTCTGAAAATGAGAAGGAGATGGAAAGAGAGCCCAATCCTCAATCGTCTAAAGTGGACGAGTTAGAGGCTCGCCTTAATGCAATAGCTCATCGTGCATGGTCGACTCAGCCGTGTTCCGCGTTTTCTTGTTTATTCACAGAACCCCTTGACTTCATTTATTATTTTTAATTTTATTTTGGAAAATGTGATTCTTTTTTGGAAAAATTGCTTCTAGGCCCCAAATTTATATTTTCAATGTGCCCCAGCCCCTCCTATATTTTTTAATGTTCTTTAGCCCCTCCTTTTTGAAAAAATGTGTCCAAGCCCCTCCATCACTCCTCCATCATGATTCCAGCTCATTTCAGCAGTTGATTAGACATGCCAGCTCATGATTAGACATATCAGCTGACTTAAATCCCGAATTTACCCTCATCTTTCTCATGTCAGTGGATGTTAACTCTTTTCTGTATCATGTTAACTCTTTCCTGTAACATGTTAACTCTTTTCTGTAACATGTTAACTCTTTTCTGTAACATGTTAACTTTTTTCTGCAACATGTTAACTCTTACAGATAACATGTTAATTCTTACAGCTAACATGTTAACTCTAACAGCTAACATGTTAACTCTAACAGCTAACATGTTAACTCTTACAGCTAACATGTTAGCTGTAAGAGTTAACATGTTACAGAAAAGAGTTAATATTTTACAGAAAAGAGTTAACATGTTACAGAAAAGAGTTAACATGTTATAGAAAAGAGTTAACATTAATGTGCCCATGCGAAGTTCCCTCAGGAGCGCGCGCGACGGCCGACGGAGTGTGGGAAGGGCAAAGGGGCCGACCGAACGGAGGAGGATGGGAGGAGTAGTAGCGGGGAGCGGAGGGGGGGGGGAGGGAGGCGTGGGAGGGGGCGGTGAGGAAAGGGAGGGCGTTATATGGGCGGGAAGGCGGGGGGGGAGCGTGTAGGGGGAGACGGAGGAGGGAGGCGGGGGGGGGAAGGAGGTGTAGGGGGATGGGAGCGGAGGCGGGGCGGTGGGCCAGAGGGAGCATACGGAGGAGGATGAGGGGGTGTAGAGCGAGCAGTTAAAATGGGGATTGTGTATGGTTTGCTATGGCCGAACTTAGGCGAGATGAGCTTTAATAATTTTTTCAAGCGGGGGGGGGCGGCCCCAGCCAAGTTTGAAGAGTTGCTAGGGGGGCTAGCACATTGAAATATCATGAATATTTGGGTCGTCTTGAAGCCAATTTTCCTATATATATATATATTCATATATATATTATATATAACTATATAATATACTATCTATATATATTATATAATCATATATAGTATATATATATATATATATAATATGAGATTAATGAGTATCTTTTTGTCATAGTCCGAGGGGATTATCCTTGATGCCCTATGTGGCCCACAAATCCCACCATCCTACAAATCCCCATCAACTCACACTCTCTCTCCTACTTTTATGAGGATTGTGTCGGGATTGTGCCACATAGGCGACAGGACGGAATCTCTCCTATGGACAAGCGCATACCCGATTAATCTTATTATAATATATATTATATATATATATATTATATATATATTATAATATATATATATATATATATGTATTATATATATATATATATATACTATATATATATATATATAATTATATATATACTATATATATACTATATATATATATATATATATATAGAGCAGAGACGAAGCGATGGGGGAGCGAAGAGAGCATGGTGAGGAGAGAGCAGAAGATGGGAACCTGGTACCCCAAGTTGCTTAAAGCCAACTCTGGTAGTGATGTTTTGGCCATAATCTTGTCCCCAACATTACCTACGAAGAATAGAGCCTAAACACAGCTTCACCACTCAATGCATGATGTAGCGGGGCAAGATTATGTCAATCACTACCAAGCTTGCTATGGGAGCAACTTGCGTACCAAGTTTCTTCATTTTTCTCTCTTATATATATAGTATATATATATAATTATTAATATATATAATATATATCATATATACTATATTATATAGTTATATATATATAAGTATATTGTCTCTTATATATGTAGTATATTGATGTAGTACTATACTTATACTAATTATATATATATTTATACTCTTATAAATATACTTATTTGTGTAATATATAGCCTTATGTGCTGTGTGTGATTTTTATATATATATATATATATATTATATATATATATATATATATATATGTATATATATATATATATATATATATATATATATATATATATATATATAATATATATATATATATATATATTATATATTATATATATATATATATATATAATTTATATTTTTATATATATTTTTATGTATAATACAATTTGTTTATGTAATTTCTATAAGTATTTACAATTTGTTTATGTATAATATATAAGTATTTACAATTTGTTTATGTATAATATATGAATGACATGGATATTTTGGGCTACTTAGTCTAGTGGTAAAATTTAGGAGTTTGGAAAGGAGGTTAGTGGTTCAAATCTTAACCACAACATATATATTTAGAGGTATTTGATCTTTGATTGGGCCTTGGGGCTCTTGGGCTCTTGGAATTCTACAATTATTTATAATTTTGTTTGTTTCTATAAAATCTATAATTATTTTATATCATTTTAATTTCTATAATTTTTTATATTTGTAAATTACATAATTATAAATGATTAATAATATAATTTTTTATCAAAATTGTGTTTATTTTTAGCTTTGTTTTCTTAAAAAATTTTAAAAAAAGTAAAAGAATTTAAAAAACAAAGAAAACCGGGCCGGCCCGGAGCCCGGCCCGCTCAGGCCCGAAGCAACCGGGCCCGGGCAAAACCCGAGCTAACCGGGCCCGGGCCGGGCCGGATGGACAGGTCTAGTGGCAGGGTCTAAGGGATACTATTGCACAGTACATTATCACCCAACTAAGCATCAAGCTCTTTTTAAGGAAGGAGAGAATGGGTCACATAAGAAAGATGTGTACATATGGTTCAAGGTATGCAAATGCAAGCATCAGAAAGGCATTTATTTGAGAATAGCGCAGTTTGAGAATAGCGCAGACCTGTCACGGATCACAGGAAGATCATACAAGTGCTATATACATTATTAATATGATTCAAGAAAAGCAAAAACGTTCATGACAGAGTTGTGCAAAAGTTTATTGGAATTGACATCAACTTAGAAGAAAATGGATCTATATATATATAAACTAATCGATCCAGATAATCGTCAGATTAATTAGATTAATGTGGGCCGAACTTTTAATCAATTTGATGTGATGTAGAGGCTCGCTTACGGGACATTAATGCTACGGAAATAAAAAGTTAAATCAAAACTAAAAGAATCAAAAAGTAAAAAATGGAAAAGAAAATGAAATCCTGAATATCTACTGATGCTGATATATGTAGGGCATCCTGTGTTGAGCTAAGAAATATAGATCTCGTGATGACGACATAATCGCAGAAATGACATAGCTCATATACCTACTTGGAGAAAGCTCAAGCTCTCAAATTAATTAAACAATTAGAGGAAAATTAACACTTCCTGCCTGGAAATTTAAGAGCAAAGAATTGATCAATCACTTCCTTTTTACCACGAGAATATGACTGTGGATAGTTTCCTGAAAAAATAGTAAGGCCGTGAATTATGAAAATTCCAGCAGTTAGCGCACCCCCTTAAAGCAAGAAAATAATGAGCAAAAACATCAGATTCATGCTATCAGTAACAAACAACATGAATCAATAATGAGCTGCAGCCACATATTGACAAAGTAAATTAAATTGCCAACAATTTCAAAACTTACAAAGAGTATAATAAATTCTACTCTCTGAATTTTGCAAATAACTCATAGTAGTAATTCAGAGAAATAATTGTTAAATCGAAGAATGCGCTCAATTCAGCAGATCTAAAACCAAAGAGAGAAGAAGAACAAACAGAAGATCACAGCATATATATATATACATATCGGTCATAAACGTCTCAGCCTGTCCATGCATTCCCACAGCTGTCCTGAACTTTCTCGTGCGAAAGCTCGTTCCATCCGTGGCGGAATCAGAGACAGTTCAAGAAAGCTGTGGAAAGGAATGAAGGGGCTGGCTGGGGATTGAAGGAGCTGGAGCTGGAGCTCATGAAGCTGATACCTCACTCAATATTTGAGATCTGGGCTTGCTTTTTAATGGCAGAAAAAGTGAGGGAGGCTTAATTATTATCCTCGTGTGGTTGGTACCTTTGGTGAAATTTTCTTTTTTGAAGTGGACCCTGAGAGAGTGAGCTTCTGTGCTTATGCTTGGCCAGAGGACGGTAAAGTCCTGCTGCATCTACGTGAAGAGAGGGAGCACAAGCGCATGTCATGCTTATAAGTGGTCTTTATTAATTTATTGGGTAAATTTCACCAGAACCCCATGACTTTTGTACTGTACCTCACAAACCCACCTGAACTTTCAATTTATCCCGTTGGAAACCCCCTTAGTACTGTCAAAGTGCATGAACTCGAATTCTTTAAGTATTGGCTGAATTGCTAATCACTGCTAAAACGGTTCGGTTGGAAAATTGAAAGTTTAGGGGGGGTTTTGTGAGGCATCTCTAAATTTTAAGTTTCAGGGTTGGGTTGGGTTGGTAGTGATATTTTCTTAGGGTAAATTACATAAAATTTCTTTACTTATACGTTCTATAACAATAGATTCCTTCCTTTTATGAGTGGTGAGACTTATCCTGCTAGTTAATTATATAGAGCAAGTAATTCTCATCATTTCATCACTTAAAAGATCAATTTATTAACTGTTGCCTCATATCCGCTATTACGCACATCAGTGTGCGTGTACACAAATATATATGTGGAATACATGTTGAGAACTCATTTTAGTAAATTAGCTACTAATTAAGAGATAGATGAGCTGCGAGGCTCACCTTGCTAGCTATGTTAGAGCACGTGAATCGTGTTAGAACGTTGTTCATACAATATCTCTTATTTGAGGAATAACAAACTCTTATTTTTTAGTGATAATTATTTGAGATGATATAGTTTAGGTATAAACAGGCATACAAGAGATACGAGGCAAAACGATGCAAAAAACAATATGAATGTTAATTTAAGCCTTCACACTTCGATGCCCTTAAGACAACCATCAGTAGTCAATAGTCAATCAATGGATTACAATGCACAATTGGAGAAAAACAAAAACAGGATTCAGTACCATCAATAGACTACAATGACTCATTGATGGTCAGTTACATCATCGACGGACTAGTGAACATTCAATAAATTCCAGAAACCAAAATACAAATCATCGATGGACTACTGGGCGACCATCGATGATTAGTAGGGGCCATCGATAGTCGTTATTATCAATAGTGACGACACTGATTGGAAGAATTAGTAAATTTAATCTCAACTGTTCGTCGACCCCTTTTGCCTCTAATTTCTACTATGATTCTTATATATCTTTCCTTTATTATCAAAGGTCATATAATATAGAAAGAGATCATATTTTCAAAAGGTTCATGCTTTGAGAAATAGAGAGATTTATTCTAGGTTTTGGAGAGAGAAGTTGATTTGTGATTTCAATCTCCAGAGCCTCGTCAAAATCTTTCTCGTTGCACCCGACATCTAAGGATTGTATCAGGGAGGAGAGTTGCCTTTGCGTTCAACATCATCACCGCTTCTTCATCGATCTTTGCTTATATCTTTTGAAGAATGGTTTGATTAAAATTGTTGTAAGATCTTTTTAATTAATTTGCGCTAAAACTATTTGGTTGATTTGTTATTTATCCTTTTTAATAACGTATTCAAACCAGTAATAATTGAGGGTTGGGGCTAGCTAGGGTAACGTTTTACTCATCTTTAAGGAGCTAGGTTAAACGACTAGTTACAGATAGATTTTAGGGTACGATCTCTATAATCCTACTGAATCAGGTTGTGATTTAGGTGAATTCTGGTCATAACAAGAAAGCCCATTCATGAAAAGGAAGAGAGGACATAGGATTTCTATCCGAACCATAATAATTTTTTTTGTGTTCTCTAGTTTATTTTTGGTTTGCTTTTTTACTTTTATTTTGATATATTTTCACTACAAATTCTGTGTTTTAGCGATAATTTGCAGCAAACTTATTCACCCCCCCTTTAAGCTTGCATCCCAGTTCCAATAAGTGGTATCAGATTCTCGTTACCCATCTTTAGGTATCATAACCTAGGGTAGTGATGTTATGTCTTACCGCCACAATGGCTTGTCCCGAGGGACACGTTGTAAATCGACTTTCGCTTTTCAATAGGAAAAATACATCTATTGGAAAACACATATGAAAGTCTTTTTGATGTCCACCAATTATGATGTTTGGGAGTGTGTTGAAAACGGCTACAAAGAACCCACTACTATTGTAGAATGAGTTTCAATTGTCATTCCTAGGGATAAGTGGTCACCACAGGAGAAACAAATATTTTCTTTGAATTCTAAAATTATGAATGCTCTTTTTTGTTCCTTAACTGCTGAAGAGTTTAACCATATTTTAAATTATACTGCTGCATAGAAAAATTGGAAAATGCTGTAGGTTACACATGAAGGAACATCACAGGTAAAGAAGGTAAAACTCACAATGCTTGTCAGCAACTATGAGAATTTCAAAATGAAGGCTTCAGAAAGCATTCAAGACATGTCTGCACGATTCACCTATATTGTGAACAAATTAAAAGCTTTGGGAAAGGAGTCAAATAACTAAGAGATTTGTAGAATAATACTTCGTTCTTTATCTAGAAATTGGGAATCTAAGGTAACGACTATTGAGGAATTGTAAGATTTTTCTAACGTAACTTTTAAAGATCTTGTAGACAATCTTTTTATGTATGAAGTTCGATTAAAAGAGAAGAGAATATGCTTCAAAAGTTGATTCCAAGAAGAAGACATCAGCCCTGAAGAACAAAAAAAAAGTACTAATCCAAGAAGAAGAAAGAATCAAGCTCGGACTTAGATAATAACAATGAAAGTGAGGTAGGATTAGTAGTAAAAGGATTCAAATCTTTTCTGAAAATAAAAGACGGGCAAAAGTTCATGCAAAATAAACGGAATCAAAGTTTCATAAAGGTAAAAATGACTAAATATGAAGACTTAGATTCTGAAATTATTTGTCATCGTTGTAGGAAACCTTAAAATTATAAAAATGAATGCCCTCACCACAAGAGTGATTACAAAGAAAAGAACAAAAGCTTCAAGTTAATATCATATTACTCCTTGAGTGAAAAAGAAAATTTAGATGATGACTAAATGTTAATGATAAGAGTCATTATATTATGGCTACTGTCCAAATTGTGAAAGGTTCAGGTAGTAAACTTTTAAATAAGGAAGTCGAGAGATAATGAATAAGGAAGTACATGGTATTTAGATTCAGGACATTCTCGCCATATGACAGGTAAGAAAGACTTGTTTCTTAGTCTCGATAAAAGGAAAGATGGAGATGTGACTTTTGGAAACGACAACAAAGGTAAAATTTAGGAGTTGGTGAAATAATTTTCTTTAAACTTCTTAAAGTTTTACTAGTTTATAGTTTAAAACACAATTTTATTTTCATCAATCAGCTTTGTGACAAAGGTATGTCTATTCCTTTCGAATCTAATGTGTGCTAAATAATTAATTCAAAAATAGGTTCGATTGTACTTACAAGAAATATACATGCTAATTTATATACTTTAAACTTCAATTATGTTAAATCTAATATTATAAAATGTTTAGTTTCAAAAGGAGAAGATGGTAAGCTTTGGCATAGAAGACTTGGACAAGCAAGCATGGGTTTATTATAAAAACTTTCAAAGAAAAAAATTAGTCAGAGCTTTGCTAGTGACTAGTTTTAGAAGTGAGAGTTTATGTGAGGCGTAAAGGTAAATTTATAAAATTTTCTCATAGTTTGAAGAATCAGGTGAGAACTTCTAAACCTTTGTAATTACTTCACTTAGATCTTTTTGAACCAGTATCCACACATAGTTTAGGAGGTAAGAGTTTTTTTTAGTTATGGTTGATGATTACTCTAGATTCACGTGGATCATGTTTTTAGCCAAAAAAGTGAGTGTTTTAAAGATTTTAATTTTTTTGAAAGGAGTTGAAAAGGAAAAAGGTCTCCATGTTCGTACAGTTTGAACTAACCATGAAGGAGAATTTAAAAATGAATTTTTTTGAAGAATTTTGTATTAAGTGTTTGGGGAGAAAGTTGATGTATTTATTACAGTGTTCATTACAACTTCAATCATTACAATAAAAATAAAAAGATTAGTCTTTTTATAAGACCATTACACAATGAAAACCAAAAAAGTATAACTCTCATCAAACAGCCCAACGGGTGTTTATCGCCCGCTGCTTACGTGAGATCTTGGCATGTGATGGGGATGTTGATATCCATGGACCACCAAACGATCAGATCAGATCCGGAGCTTCGTCGATTCGCAAAGAAATCAAGAAGCCGAAGCAATTATCTCGACAACAGCGAGATAATCACTCTTCTCGAGATCACCGTAACGAGGCAATCTCAAGGCAAATGATTGGGAAGTGTAGATCTAACGAGCTCCTCCTCTTTATGCCGATGAACTCGATCTGATCTCCTCCTCTCTTTTGAAATTCGTGCTTCTTCAGTCTTCAATTC